CGCGACGTTGACTCTTGTGCTTCGCTGAGCACTTCGAGTAGCAGCTAACCTTACTTGCAACACCAATGACTTCCAACTCCGTAACCCACAGGACTGTTTTGGTTATGGACGCTTCCCTGTCATGTAACTTTGCAGTTTGGGTTTAGCTTCTAAACACCACAAGTCATTGGTTCAGGCAGGTGTTCAACTGATGCTGTAAAGTGTTGAAGCTTATCACCTGTGCATAAATAACTTCCGTCATCCAAGCTATTTAGTGAACTGGCATACTTCCGCTCAATGTAAGACAGGCACATATCATTCCCGACTTTAATAATGGTACCCGGACTTATTGCGCCAATCATAGCAGTATTAGACAAATTTGCTCCGCATCCAAAGTGCACGCCGCACAACTTTCAAGGAGACCCAGATATTTCGATAAAAGAGTATAAGTAAAGAACAAGCTGGTTCGTCCATCGCCAGGGACTGTATCGACCAATACTTTGTGATCCGCTAAATGCCCGAGGGACGTCCAATGTCCGGCGGTTCGAAATTGCTTTTCTTCTTGGACTACTGAACCGAGTTCGACTCAGTTAACCATGCCACACTTATGTATTTTTCGGTGAATTTCGACGAGTTACCTTCTGCAATACATTTGCATTTATTTCTTGGCCGTGCACGTGTATGGCGGAATTCCGTCCTCCTTGCTACCAACAGTGGTATGAGATAAGATTGCCCATCAGTAAATTTCATTTTAGCTCCGCTGTAGACAATTTGCACAGTTCGTTAGTCATTGGCAAACCAACCTGCATACAGCTGCTTCCAAAAGAACCGAAGACGCGTCTTGGTGCATATTTTGAAATGGTTGTTAAATAGATTAACTGGAAATCTGGGTCAACACCAACGGTAACGCCGATGAGGTCTATCTGCGTCTCTAATGCTCAGGTTGCTTTTGCCACTTTCCAAAAACTTGGGTGTCGACGTACCCTCTTTCTCTCCCTTAATGACGGAGTATATAATTATAAGGTGCGTGAGGTCTTGTCCTAGGATTACGAGAACTGGATATTTATCTAAGCAGTTTTTAAAGGATATCTGCTTTGAATCATTTCTGCCTTCGGAGCAACCTTTGAGCACGACCATAAAAGCACAATAGAAATAAGGAAGTGGATCCGAATATTTTAAAATCAAACAGACGCTGCCGACCAATAATTTGTATACTTTTATCGCACCGGTTACGGGGAACTGGACACGTACTTCTCATCCCAGCAAAGCGTTTGTCCTCCTTGTGTATGCAAAGTTGGGCGGGAAGCGAATGTAAATTTACCAGCGAATGGCCTAGGCCTTACGCACTTAGGAAGTGTCAGTGTTCAGTTACTCTAAACTACTGAGCCGGGTATGGAAGGATCAAGAACAAACCTGACTCGATCATTTGCCAGGCATGGCTAGCAATTTCATCTAATGGTAGACGTGTGAGGTTCTACTTCAATAATGAGAGTTTAACCGTGTTTAGCTATCACCTTCTGCATATTGTAGTTGTTAATACGTTGTCAACTTCCATTGGCGCAAGAGAATGTGCCAAGTATTAAATATATACAAACATCTATCACTCTGCAATTCTTATCTGGATGTCAAAACAGCAATACTAAAATTTTTTACGGGATCCACTGAATTCAGCTATTTCGCGCGCTCTCCTTAGCGGTTTACATATATCCCGTGGAAGTATCGCGTTGCTTGCCGAAGGGAATCATTGTCCAAGGTCAATTAGTTCAAGGAAAAGGAGCAACAACCTTACCAAGACGATACTGCTCGTACATACAGCATGCTTGCATAAATTGGGATTTGACCACCAAATTACTGAATCCTCGGCAAATTAAAGGAATCGGATATATCGCTTTAGGCTTATTACTTTAAACGAACCAAGCGGAAGCTGGCACGAAGTTCCAGGATGTATATCGCAATGGAAATAACTGGAAGTTTGGGACCGTTAGCGGATGTTTTATTGAATTTGCGCGGAAATCTTACTGGACAGCTTGCTCTCAGTAAGACAAACATACTTCAAACCATAAGTACATTAGAAGAGCTAAAAGCAAGTGGCGGTACAGTGAGGGTTTGGCTTGTCTGTCTTGCGTCTACAGAGCAAGTTCTTACTTTGGTGCTATAACACCGGGTTGGCCAAGTGATATCTTTTCAAGGGTTCTTCTTTAAAGGGATCAATTTGATGGAATATTTTGGCACCACCGCCACCAAGCAGTAGATAAATGTTATTATACGATCGTGCATTTGGACAAACAGACCCTTCAGGTATCGCATCCTGTGTTTATCTCCTCTACCTTTGGTAGTACCAATTTGTTGACCGCAGTCAGAGTAGTCTGTCCACTAGGATTTCATAGCCAATTCCACGAAACATAGTCACTAACGGTCCCAAGCTGCGGGTCAGCTCCAACGAGAAGCAATCCTGGTCTTCACTACGTGCCAAGTTCTTCGTGATTCGTTTAAATAATTAAGTGGCAGAGCAATACCCGCTTGCTTTTTGTTTACCGAGTCTTCAGGTATTTGGCGGCAAAACCCCCATTTATGCAATCAAGCATTACTTGCGAGCAGCTTCAGCCTACCTTGGTGAGGCAATTGATTGTTTTCCCAAGAACCGGATGACCTTACATATTGCCTTCATTTTCGACGAGACGAGATAATTTCACCGTATATATGTAAACGGTTCATGAGAACAACCGAAATAACAGAATTCCGTTTCACTTGTGAAAATATTACCTCCCACTTTTAAATTTGTGTGCGGAATATCTGGCATGAATTATCCGGCCGGTCTAAATGTTTGGCTCAAATGAAGATGCATAGGGAGAACACACGGGGCGCTTTTTTCACTTTTTTTCTTTGTTCTCCTCTACGTTTTTTTGCGACCACGCTCACCTCGCAGATCCCTTGTCCCCCAAAGAACACAAGGAAAATAAGCTAAGCTGTAATCTTCCCTTCTTGGTTCACTTTACCTTCGCAATTGTTTGGCCATTTCCAATTTAAGGCACAAGCCTACACGTTGAAGACAAGTATCAGAAACAAACGGAGCTTCTATCTCCCAACTTGCTACTTCCGTTGCGTTAAATTGTACTGGGAATCGATATTTGAAGGATGCTAATAGAAGTAAATATATATGTGTTTTCTGGCTGTACCTTTCTCTTATGGTTATTAGTAAAAGCATACTATGGGATATAGCGTGCACGTATACACCCATGTTCACTAGGTCATCTCTTTCCCTGTAATTGCCAACCTTTCAAGTAGTTGCGCACCTAATTTCATTATTTTCCACACGTCACAATTCTACAGACGAACCGCACAAGCCTAGGGCGAGACTAATGTCCAGTTATGACGATGCTTGGCTCAAAATCCTTAGAAAGTGATCAAAAGTTGTCATAGCTTTTTACTACGTTTTAACTAACCATGCGGACATATCGATTTAGGAAATATACACTACCTGCAGTTTTGCCGTTATCTTCAATTCTTCCTTCCACATAATATACCATGTATGACATCTCCGAACGCAATAAAAGTAACAGGAGCATTTTAGACCTTGCTCGTTTTTATGAAAGAAAACAAATTATATTATAAAGAAATTAAAACCTACACCGGTAATACTCATCCTTTTATAGACTTACTATACCACTTTATCCCTGCAATTATTCATATTTAATAAGCCAATGGGACAGCATGACATCCGAACAAATTGATAGATAATTGCCTGCAACATTAAAAGGTCTATGGGATTGAAACTGTGGATTTGTGGATTGCCACTGGTGTGTCTAGAATTGTCTTCATTTTCACATACTAGTAAAATGAGGGCAGAATTTACGATTTTAATCGTCTTCCACTTATAAGCTGGGCAACGAAAATCTGCAATATTTATCAGTGGAATTGGTCACTTTGTGCATCTTACAAGAAACGTACATGCTAGCAACAACCATAAATCTAATCAAAAATGGCATCACAGTATTGGGCTCTTACAGAATTTTTCTGATATCTTGGGCACATTTATATCCGGCGCTTAACTATTCCGGTCTATGAAAACAGTTGTGTGTAAAATATGAGGTTCAGACATGGCAGTCGTGACAGAGGAGTGATTTCACCATACACAATCCAAATACCTCAAAGAGTTGATCCATTTATTTTTGTAATTTTATTATTTGCTTTAAGCACAGCGGCTGGTTTCGCCAAGAGATTTTGGTAGATGCCATTACAGTTTCTGGGGTAAACTTATGGTTGATTAATAGATGTTAATCATCTAAAATCCCTCGTGATATCAACTGTTAACTAAGCGCCGTAAAATTTAAACTTAGGTGCGAAGATCAACAACTGAAAAAAATACAGCTGCTTGCATGATCTACAAAATTGTGTCTACCTATGCGTTTGACCCACCTGGCATCTCCTACTATAACAGTCTTTCAGCCAGTATGTTAGCTGCGTATATTTTTGAAAGTACGGTGGTCACATTGTACTGCATTAAATAACAAACATAACGCATACGAATGTCAAGAAAACGAAGCTCAAAAATCCAGGCAATATTTCGTAGAAAAACTAGTCATTATATGCATCTAAGCAACAAGAAGCATTGGACTACGGGAAAAATTCCATCGGAAATTTATTATTAAATTCTGGTCATCATTTGGAGTAGTTTTCTGTCTAAGACAGCTATCCAATCTCTAAGTCTGGTATATTTGTTAAGTTTCAAATATTACATCCCTAATTAACCACTAAGTTTTAGCATTAAACACTGAATTGTCAAAGATTCACAACAGCGTATTGGCAGGGAATGAGCCACTGCGTGTGAAATGAAATCTTTGAGCGACCGATTTATATGGCAGATTGGCGATCCATGTTCATCATCCAAAAAATTTGACATATTTAAATGGAAAGCTACGACAAGTGAAAATAGTGCAAATAAATAGTAAACGGTTCACACGAAAAACAACTCGCAACTGCTGTTTAGAGTAAGCGATGCAGGTGAATTGAAAGACACTTACCCTCTGAAAAATAGGCATTAATATTTGTCCGCGCTACTTCAGTAACTGTCTCTGTGAACACAACCACCATCGTATTGCTATTTGAGACAATGCCGTTTTGAGGAAATCTTTCATATTGAGTAAACACTCTCAGTATATTGCGTCCACAGTTGCTTCCGTCTAACACACGTAACCGAGATGCGCGGGAAGGCATCTGTTGAGAATAACATTGTTATTAGTCAATCTAGAGTTGGCAACCAGTGCAATTTAACAAAAGCAACATAAAACGGTTCCATTACTTGTCATATAATTGGATGCAGCATCTGAAAATATTTTCAAACATTGTGACAGACTTAAGTTGTAAAATTTAGTTGTGATACACTATCGTATCGGCCGTATACTTTCGTGCTTTAGGTTAACTGGGATTTTTCACCTCAGTTTGTCGCACCTCTTCGGAAGTATGCTCAATCGATTCGGATCACCGGTCTCTATTCCACGGGACCTATGTTTTGGTTTCAGGTTCAACGACACGCAACACAAAAACAATGTCTTCGGGAAATCCTTCTTTTACACCTTCACTCGCAACCTTGATTTTGAGTTCCTTACTTGAGGCTGTGAATCGCTTTGGCAGAGTTCGCTAAATGTTATTGACAATATATTATATACAGAAGCGCAGCACGATACAGCTTAGCTGCTGTTTGCCTTGTCTCCCTGCATCTAACACTGGGATAATTCTTCCGTTTTCCTGCATATTCTTGTGATTTGCTCTACCAGTGCTACAAGTGACACATCCATGACAAACCAGCTGGCCCGGCGGCAATCCCGGCTGAATGGGGTAAACATAACTTCATTAACAATTAGTGTGACCAGGGTGCATACGAAGCATTGGCCCATGGGCATGAGAGGCATGTTGTCCAGAAAACCAGCGGACAACAAGCCTACTTTCAAACGTATTTCAACCAGCTAACAAAATATTTAGTCTCTGGAGCAAGTGATCGAAAATAGTCAATTTCTAGTATGAAACAAAAGTAAAATTATACACATAGAGCAGCGTACTAACAACTCTTTCTTGGGGCTCATGACCCTAAGATAAATCTCGTGGATCTGTTATTCCTTCTTCTGCGTAATTTTCCTTTGTGTCCAGTTTCAAAACTTCGATATTCCTGTCACATGATTCAAATTTACGTTGTTACTTTGCGTGTGAGCAGATAACATGAAAGGGTTCCATCTCGCAATACCGGTCCTCTCATTGTCTTAGTTAGAATGATAAACGTAACTCAGCGTTTTATACTCTGGTAGTTCTTTGATAGGCATTCAGATAGTCCAATGTTTAGCGTTGGTCAAAACCCTTATAAGGAGCTGCGAAATGATGGCTTCTTTACCAGTCAAGCAAAATAAACATACAGTGGTAGGGTAAATGAAATTCGTTGAACTCGATTCACGGAGTAGTGTATAATGTACCACCAATCATATAATCGTTAAATGAGAGAAATACACAAGCAAAAACTTCACGCAGTCTGGCGAAGACTGAACGTCATTATGAAGAAGCAGCTTTGATGGCAAGAAGCTTGAACGGTCTCCAACGCCTTAGGAAATTTTACGTGGCAATAAGAGTAATACAGAAGTTGGAGTAACACCTCAGTTATTCGATGGCCAAAACAACTGACCACTGAAGATGGCATGACTAACACCTTTGCGCATAAATTTTTTGCGTACGACTTCATCTGTTTCCACAATACATACCACACAATAAATTTCAACGAACGACGATACAGGTAATGTGTCCAAATGTCCAAGCACCCATTAGAATATTTTCAATTAGCAGACAATCCGAGAAACAAAACCACTGGATTAAGACTAGCTTCCAACGTGGAGTAGCCGTCCTCCTAATATTACCCAGCTTTTGCGAAATGCATCATCTACGCAAGTGTCGGCATATCGGCTAATGCCAAGAACCGTTAGCTTAACAGAAGAACTGGATGATATTCCCTTACCAAGCCTCAATCTGTTAGTCCTTGAATTTTTCCGGACAAGAAATAGGCAGAAATGTGGAAGCTAAAATCTGACGCGAGTGCGCCACGTCAAAATAAAAAGAAAATTAAACTGGTTCATGGTGTACCGGAGTTAAAGCGTGCCGACAATCAGAAACTCAAAACACGACAGTGAATAATGGAAGCACATCACAAACTGCTGTGACCTGCAAAACGGTGTGGTCTCGTACGTCAATCATCTAGTTGCTTCCAAACCTACTGCTGCAGCGGGACAAAATTTTAGGAGGTACCTCGGCAATGCCCGAGGTGGTACCATTAGAGTTACAAACGTGGCACGACGACAACAACAGAAATGGGTCACCAGAGTAAGGTTAAATTCATTCTTTAAAACAGTAACCACCTTACCTTCTGAAGAGGCAGATGCTTCAAATCAGGTAACCGGGCATAAAAGGGCACCCAAATTGTGTCGTTCAAAGTGAAGACAGTTGTTAATACTTCACGAATTCTAATGCTGTTACGCCAACGCTCCATGGCTCTACTCTAAGCTTCCAAAACTGGGTCTTCTTCTTGTTAGTCATAGAAAGGCATATAAAGTGGCTTTCAAGCGACAGATTTGATCCAGGAATTAAACACACTTAGTTGAAACGATCGGCAATCTTTCGGCGGGGACATTCTGTCTACTACCGAGAGTACCTAAAATTCTAGGCCCATATCATGCACTTCCTTTTTAATCCAGTCGCAATATTTTGTCCACTGCAGCTAGTAGGTCATGTTGTTTTATCTCAGAAGAAGAGGAGTCTACAGTCCCCAGATTGTTCTCGCATGCAGCGATGAATTTATGTCACACGCTGTCCTACATGCCGCTTCCAAAAATTACTCCTATTCTTATAAATTTGCAGATTCTACGTATCATTATTAGTACTGGCATTCCTCTGTGGATTATCAGTCAAATCAAAACTGGTTGAGTTTATTACCACGCAAATTCTGTATAATGATATGCGTTAATTAACCAGACACAGCGGTTCAAACAAGCCATCACTTACTTAATTTTGACTAACACCCAGTGATTTAGTGAGTCATTCTCGTGAGTCAGTCACGTGAGTCAGTCACGTGCGATCCTCTACTTGGTAGTAGCGACCGTTCAGTTCTGTCGCATGACCAATTGAATTATGCCAATATGGTTATTAACGAACGTACGAGCTCCGAACAATCTCCGCAAAGTGCAACTGCTGACCGTGCGCTGCCGCATCATCGACACATAGCTACTAAGAAGCATATCATGAAACCAATCTGCAGTGCAAGTGACTTAGGCACTATCGCACAAGAATGTCTTGACAATCAGCTTTGATGTTCGAAAGCAGCCGATTTAGGAATCGTGACCTTTGAGGAAATCTTTCGGCAAATTTGTGTGCCGGTTATAGCGTTTGTTGAGTAACTAGTAGATTCGTCTACGTCTTTGAATTTAAAGAGTATATATGAAAGCCATGGATAAAACAATACACTCGTGTATTGAAGCAGCGTCAAAAACAAGCCACCAAGGACAAAAGTAGACTATCCATTCCATTTATAAACTACGCCTATTTTAAGTTGCTGTGTTCTCCACAAAATGCCTACGTCTCCCTGGAGACCGCATTCTAACATACCGCTTAGTAACTGAAAGCCATATAGTTAAGCGCTGTACCTATCCCTTCAAACAATGCTAGGGCCACCGCCTGAGGCAGTTAACGAAACACTCTATTTTGGCTCAGAGAAAGTAAGTACACTCTCGTTGTACCGGTTTCCACCCATGTGGTGAATACACAAAATTTCGCAAATTTCGGAAACACTAGACTTACAAATAAATAAAAAAAGCTAACCAAATATGTGCAAAATTCCTAGACAGTTGATATTCGTATTTTACGCTGTAATGCTCTGATTTACATTTGTATATATATTTGTCATCTTCTGTGTCTTACGCGGTTGATATTTCTCAGCATGCACCACTGAACAATTAAATGGACTCATGGGAATATAACTGTTAGCGATGTTGTCTGTGTTGACAGTCGCAGAAACATCGTAGCTAGGTTGCAGTCTGTTTGATGCATGAAAAGGTAGGCGCAGTTCCTCTTGAATTCACGAGCTCGTAGGTCTGATAGATTCCCAGCGGTAACCGAATAGAGATTTTACATTTCAAATGCCAGATTTGCAAAGCAATCAACTCACAGTTAGAGTGTTTGCAAAGAGCTGCACTTTTGCTCCTGGCTTTACCGTGATTCGCCAGACGCAGACTACTGGATATGATGGCTGTTGCCGGAACGATAAAATTCCATTTGACCCACTCAACTCTCCTCCGCAGTCATCTGCAACAGTAGATATAATGTTAAGCGCTGTTACCAATGTGCTCTCATACGTTTAAAAACCAGTACGCGGCACAATATGCGATTGAAATTACGTATGGAATTGATTATTTCAACCTGTTATTGCTAACAGCTTCCCATAGAAAATTCCAGAAAATTTTCAACCGTTATTTTGACAAGCATGTAATCGCATCGGTGGTATGAAGGTTACTAACTTTGTGTAATTCACAGCGGAAGTAACTGATCACTAACAGAAAAGAAACCAATTTGATCGATCACGACCACTGAGTCGACAAGTGGCATTGGCTCAGCAAATCAGATGGAATAAGATTTAACCTATTTTTTAACTAAACGTTTCAAGTTGTATCAAAAATTACAGTCTAACAAGGATGTCGGGATAGCATTATGTAAGACAGTCGGCCACCTTTGATGATTAGGATGAAGAGAAAGAACTCACGCGCTGTTTAGTCTTACGCATGGTGTTGCCAATTGTGAAGGAACTACACGAGCATGCTCATGATGAGATGCATTTCATAATGATAGAATAATTCCACGGTTTGAAAAATCACATTAGGAGTAACTGAAGCTTATATGATATGCAGAGTATATTGCAAGCAGGATTGCCACTTATATGCACCCCGATGCCATCACCGAAGACACAAACGTATCTATTGCGTTTGTTGCTGACCTACTGATGAAAATATTCGGGGATCTCCGACTCAAGGATTGCCACATAGCACTCGCAAATTAGACTGAGAGTGAGCACATGGAATATGTTGTTGTAAGAGGCAAGGGTGTGGGAATGCGTATGGTCTTGTGACATTATGGAACTGAAAGTACATAGGGGTACCTCGACAATCGCCATCACCAATGACCGTGTAGGGAGTTAACGTTGCTTTGTAAACGGTGCTGCACCGTGCATTGTAAACTTGGGTTAACTAACCTTGAGAAGTTCGCGGGGTTGATGGATCTGTGGAAAGACGAAAAGTGCTTCAGTAATTCCATTGCGAATGTATTTAACTACAATGAAGTAATTGCATCTCAATCACAAACATATGAACTGTCGTCTAATCTACCAAATATCACCGGCCTTTTCCTGCAATCGTTGGTGATTAGGTGGCATTATATGGTCATAGACAGACAACGTTATTAGTCATGACTGAAGTTCTATAGAGTATGAGTCAGCTATCTTTTCCAGAGACAATTATTCTTTATATACATTTGAAAGATAGCAGCTCAATTCCGAACATCGCCCGGAACTAAATCACCCAAAACGCAAAACGGTTTCTGTCTGCTCGGTGGACAGTACCTACTCAGCTTTACGAGTGGATTTTTGACAAAATATAACCTAACAATTAGTTCGTATAGATAGGTCCGTATTGTTTATGATTCCGTTGGCTAAGCGATGGTGTAACGCATGAAGTTTGACAGAAAGAATCATTTGATCATGGTTCCCGTATGTTACAGTATGCGTCAGTTAATTCGATATTTGAGCGATTCCCATTCAAAATATGGAAACTGCACTAACTGTGTCCCGTAAAATATATCCATGGATATTATGCTGATAAACCCTTGCATGAAAAAGATTTTGAAGTATTTTCTAGTAAAGAAGGCGTTTCGAAACATTTAGCATGTTCGGTGAATCGCAGTTATAATATGTTACCTGTGAGACAAACCATGCAGATTAATAAAGGAATTAATTTTTCGCGTGGCTCGTTAACTACCTAGCGCATGCTTCTTTATCGAATGCATTCATTATAATGTTCATGCAATGCTATCAGACGGGTTTAGCAATCTCCCATATAAGAATTTAGCTGTAAAAGCCCCTCGACCATAGCCAAGTCAATATTATAACACTGCTTATCAAGTTTACTGACGAAAAAGTGGAATAAAGAGAAAACCATTTACTTTCGATAATTTTGTTCAATTTTATTCGTAAAGCTGTCAACAAGATAACTTACTCATTCCAGAAACTGAAATAATGGAGATGTGAACAGAGAAATGTAAAAGGCAGTCTCATTTTACCATGCATGATTGAAACCGACGGTTGTTTTCCGATAGTGAGCAAACTGTACTGTCGATAAATATTTGGCTTTTGTGCTTTTTATTGTATGTGAATTCCTCAAAACATAATCTCGACACGGTGTTGTGGAGAAAAAGTGCAAACGCAACCTCTATTCCTCATATCCATATTTTCCAAATCAATGTGCTCACGTCAGCACGTGATATTCCTTGCCATATATGGCTTACAAAAATTTCTCTTTTCCACTTATTGCTCAGTAAAGGATACAATGCTGATTCCTTCGCAAACATATGACGCCCCGCATTATTCACCGAAACAATTTACTTCATTCTACGCCATTGTGTCCCAAGTGTTCACCCAGCTGACCGTATCCGAAATTCTTCTATTTCCGACCAGATTATGAACATATCATTCTTTTGCAGACGTGGCACTTCTTGCAACAATTAAGAGTGATTTTACTTATTAGATAGTGTCCTACATATTATGTAGCTTTAATACACCCATATTTTTCACCCTATAATTACACTACTAGAAAAATTGCTTAAGTGCCAATTCATGATTTCAAAGTTATCGCGCGAATTCCTGTGGGAGCATCATCAGGCAACGCATAATTCAATTTCCCGTCTGCAGTATCTAGCTGAATTCTTTGGTTGACAAACTGAGTAATTATATATACGATTAAAACACTATGATTGATCAAGTTTGGCTATATAAATTAACACTGCGGAACTACTACAAAACAGCGTCAACGGAACTTTACAAGTTACAAGGTAACCACGAAATGTTGCCAAGGCAAATTATCTGTCAAATTGTGCATCATAGCTTTTGCGTCGACTGAGAAAAGTGGCAGAGTTAGCAAAATGAAATTGTGATGCAACAAACTCCGAAAATACAGATGGTCAACTGACGACTGCTTTGATGATATAGATATCGTACTACCAGCAGCAGTATGTAGGAGGTGATTGGGGTCGTTTGGAGTCCTTGATGCACGACTGAGGCATATGTGGAAAACTTTGGTAACGATAAATTCTACTATAACTTCTTTGTTAAATCTAGTGAAGTAAGAAGGCTTTCTGAGTGTAAAATAGGTTGAAATACATGGGAAGATTCCATGGAAAAAGACAGGATCTTTGTAACCTGTGACGGGGAACACGCATATCTACAAACCTTGGAATATTTGAATTTGGGATATAGATTATTTGGAGACTAGAAGAAAATGTAAACCGTGAAAACGGCAGCGGAATAAAAATTATCTTAACCACTAAAGACCAAATGGAATAATGTATTTACAAGGGAAGAGTCCAACAAGAACTAGAAAAGGGTACATGCTATCAAAATGCTTGAAAAATAAAGGAAGTGAGACGTGGCGCGTGCCGATTTCATGAATTCATCTAATCCTCTTTGGATTTCGAGAGCATTTTCTATCACTGTGTTATGCGACTTGGACGACGTCATCAGCATATTTACGTTCGATGAAACTGGATCTTATGGCGTGACATTCACGTTAGGGCGCAACTATTAAGGGGAATTCACCCTAATCGGTTGTGAGTACGGGTGAACTTTTGTCACACAGTTGCGTGATTTCTGTGCCATTCGTGAAATAGTCGAGCTTTCCGGTTTATACCCGTAGAAGAATATCAGTTCCATGCAAAATAGCCACGAGTAGGAGACTGTAGTTGCATACAAATATATTGGGGTGATGGTTATTTTGTCCAACACAGACATTGGAATGCATAAGAAGCGAAACGGCACGTAATATATACCACCCCGATTTGTGAGCACAAATTTTGTATTTATCAGTATCATCGCTTGTGTAAATGCGGGATATTAGTAATATTTTAGGTATTTTCAAAATTACAGAGGTACACATTTTTGACCGACAATTCTGGAATTCTATCCTACGCGCGGGAGTTATTCTGGCTGCTTTCCGGATCACAGGACGGTGCCGGACATAAGCTATTTGCAAAAGATCACTGTCGGAAATGACTTTGATGCTTCCATACATTATCCAAGAGCTTTTACTATCAAGATATTAGGGTCACTATCATTGTTTGCTCTAGGTTTGTAAGTTAGCTTCAAACATGGTGTTGTCAAACAAGTTCGAAGGATCAGTGGTGGGTTTGTCCAAATACATAATACCGAAATGCCTACAAACATTTCCATGGATAGTTTATACGAGAGCCTCCACAGATAAAGGAAAATGTGATTACACAAAATGGTTCTAGTATACATGGGTTTTAACCCTCCTAGCTAAACTTTACAGTAGCAGACTGACAGGCGACAATATGAGTTGTTTTAACTTTATAAGGAAACGCATTCTTCCTACATGGTTGTTGGTGTAGTGGTGATTAAAATTGGTTAATCCGCACATAGATTGTCTCCATTGCGCTGCACAGCTTGTAGAAGAGATTATTATACTCAGTGATTTGATCGCATTTTACTGACTAGACCTCATTTGTGAAACGGTGTAGTCGGTTGAATAAAGCATCTATAATACTTCGTATCTTAACAGCTTTGTATGGCTTTTGCCATCACAATGCTGTTTGACTTTCATAAGTCCTCGGGCATGCTTTTCCATGTAATAGTCCAAATTACAAATGGGGTTATTTTTTTGGAAAACAAGCTACATTTGTCGGCAAATCTCGATGTCTCAGTTGCGAAGAGACGGCCTTTTTTCGATAAAACTCCTTAGACAGCACATTTACAAGCAGGTGTAAATCAACTAAGTGTGTTAGTGAAAGGGGCACTAAGGTTAATAACGAAGGTGATTAGAACAAAACTGGTCAAATCAAGCAATACTAACATCCAGCCATTCAAGGCAAGTCTCAAGACAGCCAGTGGGATAACGAACATCCTCGTTTGCCATTTGTTTATCCGATCACTGGCTGGGTGATAGGTCACGAGCATATACTGCCGTCACCGAGTTAATCTCAATCTGAGTAGCGTTACATGCCTGTTAATTAGCCAGTGATTC